CTAGCTCTTCCTCTTCTTTAGAAAATTGGGGTCTTAATACCACCCTCGGGCTCTCTGGGACTGGCTAAACAGCCTCACCTCTTCCTCCAGGGAGGCTTGCATGTCAGCTTCATCCGCAAGCCTGCTCCCTACAGCTTCTGCAGTGCTTGCTTTCTGATGGCCATTTACGTGAACTGTGGCCATCTCTGCTGGAGGCAGGATGCTTTCTAAAACTTGCGTGAGCAGCTCCTGATGTACCAGGAGCTTCCTTGTTACAGGCCCCGCTCTGTCCAGAGCCTTCCGGAGGCGTGTGCTCTTCCACGGGCGTATTTGGAGCCACTCCGTATAGTGCCTTCTTAGCCTTTAGGAGCTTTAGGGCCTGGTTAAGAGCATCTAATTCACAGGTTTGAGCTGGGCAGTCACTGGGTAATCTTCCTTTTTCACGTTAGGATCTTTTGTTTCCGTCAATGACAGCGTAGCCAGTGTGTCTTTACCATCAGTCGCTCGGGATGACCCAGCCGCAAACAGCCTCATTCCATCGTGGAGTGGAGCTTCTGTCAGGTCTGGGCTAACTTCAGTTTGACGTTCTATGATATCTAAACAGTGTGGTCTCATGCCTCATTATTGCCCTTTCCATAAGAAACTGGCTAGTTTCAAGCAAGTATCTGTTGTTAAGACCAAATTATGTTTTTCTAGTAACCTGTCTTCGTATTTTAATGTCCAGGAATCAGTCAGCCATCTCCCAGCTCTTTGATCTAATATGTCCCTGACCTGATGTGGGGTGCTCACTACCAGGGCCCCAGCTTCCAGCTCTCCTCTACCCACAGGGCCGTGGCAGCCACTGCCTGCACACATTTGGGCCACGCTTGAGTGACAAGTTGGAGAAGCTTGGAGAGAAAAACAACGGTCACCTCTTCCCTGCCCCACATTTCAGTGAGCACCTCAAGGGCCGTGCCCTGGTCTGCTGTGACCAACAGACGAAATATTTCCTCTAAAGGTGGGAGGGCCAGGACTGGGGCTGTAGAGAGAGCTTGCTTTAAATCCTTCACTGCCTTAATTTCTTCCAGGCACCATTTCAAGGGATCGGGTTCTTCTAGTAATTTCAGATACAGAACCCTTGTCTTTTGAGCACTTGAGTCAACCCATAATCTACAGTAACCAGTTAAACCTAAAAATTTTCGGAGTTCTTTCTTTGTCTTAGGCAAGGGCAGACCCACTATTCCTGATATTCTTTCAGGGTTTATTCCCCGCTTCCCTTCGCTAATTAGATGTCTTAAGTATTTAACTTCTTTTTCTACAAATTGCAATTTGTCCTTGGAGACTCACAATCCCCTTTTCCCTAGAAAATTAAGCAAGCTTCTGGTGGCTTCTGATACCTTGGCCCTCCTTTCCCCAGAAATTAGAAGATCATCCACATATAGTCACAACTGGGTTTCTCTGGAAGGTTGGAATTCCTCCAGGAGTTTTTCTAAGACTTGGCCAAATAAGTCCCAGGCTCCCGTGAACCCTTCTGGCAGCACAGTCCACGGTGCTGCTGCTTTCTCCCGTTATGGGGTTTTCCATTCAAAGGCAGAGAGGTCCCTACATCTAGAGTCTAGGGGACATGCCCAGAATGCGTCTTTCAGATCCACTACGGTGAACCACTTATGTTCATAGGGTATTTTACTGAGGAGGGTGTAGGGGTGAAGCACCCCAAGATGGTAAGTTTGGACAACTGACTTATAGCTGTTCGACCTTATACTAGTCTACAGGACCCATCTGGTTTCTTCACCAGGAGAACTGGAGTGTTGTATGGTGACATACTGACTTCCAATAGTCCGTCTTTAATTACTCCCTCCATTAGCAGCGGGAGACCCTTCTGCCCTTCAGTGGGTATGGGACATTGTTTCCTGCAAACTCTTTCTCCTGGACGTTTAGTTCAGTCTGTGAGGCTGTGATTTTTAACCCTCCCCTGTTGCTTTCCTTAATCCGCAGGCTGGAGTTAACTCTACTTTCCTCCTCCTCTGTTAGAAGGCCCATCACTCCTTTTATCTGTCCCTTCTCGACTCTGGATCCTAAACCTAATCGAACAGTCAGGTCTTGACCCAAGAGGCTAGTTCCTGCTTCGGGAACATACAAGAATGACCCCTTAATTTGTTCTGATCCCAAGCTAATTAACATCATCTTGAATATTGGAATGTAAAGTCCTTCCCCCTTTACCCCAATACTATTAACTTTTCCTCAGAGAGTTTTGTGCCCGTTGGTTGGTACATTAGGGAGGAGTGAGCCTCTCCGGTATTGCCCAAAGATGTCATTTTCTTCCCCATGTGAACCACCAGGTTTGAGAAACAGACTCACCCATCCAAGCCCAAAGAATGGACTCAGAGACCCAGAGGACAGGGGAAGTGACTTTAATGACGGTTTTGCAAGATCAGGTGTCTGGTGGGCAGGCACACCCCGCACGGTTTCAACAAGCAGTTTATCCCCTAGTGCACAGCCCCCCACCCCGTTCCTCACAGGCTGAGTCTGTGGGGGGTAGGTCACAGTCTTCCTGGACATCGCGTATTGCTTATTGAGCAGGGGCTTTAGGTGTTTTTTTAGGGTTGTCCTGCTGCATTTTGTTCCAGCCCACAATACATTGCAATCCCAGTCAGCTCAGGGGCTCTTCAAGTATCTGACTTACGACTTGAGTAGCTGGACAGGCAGACAATGTTACATCCGAGTGAGTTGTCAGGAAAGTGCCGCACTCTGAAATCTGATTGTGAGTCCTTTATTGCCGGCGACTGAGAGTCAGTTAACTCTCAAAATCTCTTGGCCCCGAGGAAGGGGTTTGATTTCCTTTTATATGTTGCTCATGGCAAGGGGGCAAAGCGGAATTTTACAGAAGCAGAATAAGCAAGTTAGGGGAGGAGGCTGGAAACTAGGAGGCAGGAGGCTCCCAGGATTGTTGATTAACTAAGGAGGGTATACACAAACGGTTCCCATGATTGCTGGTCACCAAGGGGGGCATCTGGTACTTTCCATACAGTCAATCAAGGGGGTACCCACAACAGCAAGTGGGCTTGTCAAGCGGGGTATTGTTACAACGGTTATACGCTTCTATAGCTCTAAGCACAGCATGACCCAGCACGGTGTGGCCAGGCATGCACTCGGGGGAAATGGCAGGGGGAGCCAAGATGGAGTCAGTCAGGCTCACAGCTAAGATGGAGGTAGTTTGCTTCATCGCAAAAAGAACAGACAAAATGAGCTGTTTTGCAGGCTAGTAAACTTTCGTCTTAGACTAAACTTCTTTGGTTTGGGTGAGGGCAACTAAGGGGTGGTGGGGAGGCTGACAAGCAGGCATCGGCTGGCCAAGCAGGGGCCTGCTACATCCTGTTTCTTCTGTAGCTTGCTGATCTAAGCCAGTTCAAGGCACTTTGTTCTGGAAATGAACCACTGTATACGTTATTTCCTTCAACCATAACCAGCTCCAAGTCGCAGGTGGTGCCTGTGTTTCCAGAGGTGCTGGGGAGGAAGCAGACTGTTGTCTTCCTGAGACTCCTTTCACTGCCTTGAGGAAGACATGGTTTCAAAGCTCAGCACTAGAATCAGGTTGCACTGTGAGGGAAGGGGCAGGAAAGAGCATTGTGTACCTGTGATCGCCAGGCCGCTTTCCGGAGACCTGGCCAGCTGCCAGCAAGCAGTGGCTCCAGCAGTTTCCTAACAGAGATAAGACGCTGTTTTCAATGCCTTTATGAAGAGTGTGATTTTTCCAGTCGGTGTTTCTCAGACTGGAATCTGTCAGTGATTTGGAGCAGGGGCGCGGTGTTGAAGGTGGAATGGGGAGGCAGGGGGCACTCTGCAGTATGCAGTGTGTGTTTCCACAGAGAAGGCAGTGTGATCACGACAGCCGGTCCACGCGCTGCTCTAGTGTGATCACCACGGCCGGTCCACGCGCTGCTCTAGTGTGATC